TCACGGGACACGGATGGAGTCTCTAAAGACAAAGAAAGACTTCATCCATTCCATCTCTAGTGGAAGATCTGGGAGGCAGATAGGGGCATGGTCATTATCCTCCAGAGGTAAAGTGTACCTGCATGTTTACATATACACTGCAAATACAAGGAGTCTTTGAAAAGTTTACAAAAAATGTGTATTACTAGAAAGCTATGCATGAAAAAAGCAAATCATAATCATAATAATAAAGCACTGAAGTAAACTCGTATTTTCATTACATTTATCCATGAGTTTCCTGAAATCCTCTCATATATTCAGGTATGTGTACTTAGGTAACATGACCAATGGCAGAAATTGGCTGACTCTCTGAACTGATCTGAAAATACTTAGAAAATTTTTTTAAGTCTACAAATATAAGGAATTATTCTTAAATACAGTGCCTTCCAAAACCAACAAAAATTTACTGAGAAAGCTATCATGCTTAAAAGCTAATTAGAGATGGGGCCAGCCAGTGGTGAGGTGGTTAAGGAGGCTGGTTCCCACACAGTCAACTGCGTGGTTCAGATGCCACAGTTTGAAAAGCACACCAGGCATGCAAACATGCCCAAAATCCCAAGAGGAGAATGGAAGGATAAGGATTGTGGCATGGCCATCCTCCCTAGAGGGTGCTTTCTCACTTTCTCTCTCTCCAACTCTCCGTCTCTCTGGTGAGCTTTCCGTTTCTCTCTGGCAAGTGCATGTGCACTATAGCAAAACAAAACAAACCTAATTAGAGGGTATCATTGAATTCAAGAAAATGCTCACTAGCAGGGAGAGTTAAACTACTGAAAGTGCTTATCAACTTTGCTGGGTTTAAGTTGCTGCTTGTCCACTCCAAAATAGTGTATTATGTTTATTACTCAGTTTCTTGGGATATTCTCTCTGATGTCAGCATAATCTATGAGCACAAGTTTTCCTAGCACTGTGGCCATGTTGCAGGTTGGCTGGCTTTCGTACTTGTGTAGTATATATGTGTATCAGTGTGTACTCACACAGCATAGACCAATACATACTTATGTTTACACCATCCATTCCCACACTGTGTCTGTCTCCATAGCCTTCAGACCATCTAACATCATACATATTTTACTTGCAATTTGTTCATTTTCTGGTTTTCCCCCTGGGAATGTAATCTTCCTGAAGGTGGAGAATTTTGTCTGTTTTATTCATAGCTATATACTCAGTTACATAGAAGAATGTCTGCTATTCAGTAAATATTTTTTGATTGAGTGAAAAATCTGTGTACAAATATAGAGGAGACTAGGGAACCAGCAGTTAGCGTAATAGCTTTGTCGCTGGACTCCCACATGGTCGACCGCGGTTTGCGTCCCGGACCCAGTGGCTTAAAACTCACGCTGGGCACATGTGCGTGCGTGCCCAAGATCCCAAGAGGAGAATGGAGGAGAAGGGATTGCGGCGTGACTATCCCCCCTGGGGGGTGATTTCTCACTTTCTGTCTCTATGTCTCTCTCTGTCTGTCTGGCAAGCGCACGAGCCCTATAGCAAAAACCTCTCCAAAAAAAAAAAAAATATATATATATATAGAGAGAGAGAGAGAGAGGAGACTTCAAAAAGTTCATGGGAAATGGAACAAGTTAGTATAATTTTATTCTGGTGCAAAAAAAATTTTTCAGGGCTAGTTCTAGAGGAGTTCAAGGTCCCACATAGCCAACTATGGTTTGAATACTGGCCCCAGCAGGCTGATAAACATGCCAGCACTTGTGTGTGTGTGTGTGTGTGTGTGTGTGTGTACTCCAAATCCCAACAGGATGGAGAAACGGCAAAGGGACTGTGCCATGGCCACAGCCCATTAGAAGTTGCTTTGTCTCTCTGGCAAGTGCATAAACCCTCTGGCAATTTAAAGAATGTTAAATCCATGCATAGTCTTTTCATAATGCACATTTTTAGTGAACTTTTTGAAGACCTCTCATTATTTGTGCTAAGAATAAGTCCATGACTGTATTATTCTAGTGGAATGGAGTAGAGTCCAGAAATTTTCCAGCTCTCAGAGCTGTAATAGGCATGAGATGTTCAGTTCAAGAAGCCAATGAGAACCCAACAGGAACGAGTACTCCCAAATGTGGTTAGGTGACGATGAAGCAGGATTGAGGGTCCTACCTTTCCTGGGCATCACTGGATGTTGAGGGGCCAAGCAGATCTCTTCTTTCAAGAGAAGTGGCTGGATATACCTGGGTGACAGATGACCCTTTTGAATGGCATAGGAGATCAGACCTTCTGCAGCTGACATGGCAGCAGGACTGGGACTGCCACCTTAGAGAGGGTTACATGGAGCAAAGAACAGTCAGTGAGAGACAAACCTGGACTGGGCCTGGAGGGAGGAGAAGATGAGCACCCGAGCCTGAACAATTGGTGAAGGGAGCAAAGGAAGCTGGACTACATAGCCAGGACAGGAAACCTAGAAGACAAGAACTATGTGGACAGTGCTCCTGGTAGCCAAGGTTGATGACCTCTTCTAAATGCCAAAGACTGTTTATCCATTCAATCTCTAGGTGGAAGATCTGGGAGGCAGTAAAAGATACATCCAGAGGGAGACCCACTTGACCTAGTGAGGTATTCCCTGGTATGGGGGGAAAGTGACAATATTACTACATAGATACAAGACCAGGCACACAGTAAGCTCTTTACATCCATTAACTCATATCATTCTCACAGAAAAGCTCTGAAATAGATGTTATTACTAGCCTCAATTGTCAAATGACGATACTGGCATATGACAGTTTTTTATCTATTTCCTCTCGTGTTCATCTCTGCTCTGTGCTCTCCTCTGTTTTTCAGGGGGCTAGAAGCATGCAAACTATTATTTCCCAGACTTCCTTGCTTGTTGGCTTCTGGTTAGTTTCTACCAATGGAAGACATTGGTTGAAGAAACAAGTTACACTTTTTGGTATCCTGCAGCCACAGAATCAGCATTGAATACCTTCAGCCTCCAGAAGTGATAGCAATAACTGTGAGCTCAAGCAGTGTCACAACGGCTTCGGCAACATCACAGGCATGCAGACCAGAGAAGAGGAGGAGGAGAAAGCAAGTCATCCAACTCAAAGGACAAAAGAACTTCAAGAGAAGGACGATCCTCAGAGAAGACAACTATGATGTAGGCTGAAAAGATAAGAGTGTTGAGACGAGGGAGTGGAAGAAGAGTATAAACAACTCTCTGACAAGGAGTAGGCAGGAGATGACCGTTACCTATCTTACTGCCAAAGAAGGCAATGCCTAGGGAGATGTTGTTGTAGCCCTGGGTGTGCAATCCCTGGATGTTCCAGCCAACACCTTCATACACCTTGCCATCGTCCCCAACCAGGAAGCTGCAAAGCAAGAAAATGTGGATTTAATAGAAAATCTCTATAGCAGAAATCCTCTCACTGGTTCTTAAAGAGAAAAGGGGGTTCTACCAACTCGTAAAAAGTTCCATGCTTCTATTACATAATAGTTGGGATGGGGGACAGTGGATATGATAGCCAATTTAAGACTTTTCAGAGATATGGGAATATAGTTTTTCTTATGAGACAGCTTTGATGCATTTTACAGAAACTCACTTGAAAAGTGCTTATTTGAGTCAAAATGGAATTCAAATATGTGATTTTCAAGGACCTGAGAACATTAGTGCAACATTTTTTCAAGAGCTTGAGAATTAATTATGTTTTTAATTCATAGGACTAAGCACTTGAACTTTTTCTTTAATAATTACTTAAAATTCAAGAATTCCTTTTAATTGACTTTTTGTTCGGTTTCTCCTTAGAAATTCCCTTAAGTTCTTCTTTATCACAGTAACTTGTTTAGAATGCTTCTTTTAGTAGTTTTTAAAAAATCAAATGTATATATTTTGGGCTGGCCTGTTATTGCAGTGGTTTGGTGCTATGCTGAGGAAGCCAAATCCCACATGGCCAACTGAAGTTCAAATCCCAGTCCTGTTGGCTTCATGCTGGGCTCATTCAAATGTGGGAAAGATCCTGACAAGATGGAGAATTGGAGGAAAAAATATTGCAGTGTGAAAGGCCCCGATGGGAAATTCTCTCTCTCTCTCTCTCTCTCTCTCTCTCTCTCTCTCTCTCTCTCCCCTTCACTCTTTCTCCCACCGCCCCA